ATTTTCAGCCTTAAAAGTCACTAATGATCGTGCTAGCTGACCCTAAATCAGGTGAGAGATCAGTCATTTTTGATAAGAAACTTGCCTGTTTGGTTCGGCCAGGGCTTGCTGAAAGTCCCGATAGCTGGCCATATTTCAGCCATGTTGGCAGTGTTACTCAGTCCAGTCCTTGGGGATCCCCTAGACAGTCCATGTTCTTGCTCCCTCCCAACTCCCTGCCAGACAATCCTCATTTTTGCTCCTAACCAGGAGTTGGGAGGAAGCAAATACGTGGACTGGCTGGTGGTCCCTGAGGACCGGGTTGGGAAACACTGGTATAGGATATATGACTCCATGCCCAACGGATCCAGTGTTGACACACTTTTTAAAATTTACTGTCTAAACAACTTCAGTGACCAAACATCATGCAGCTGTTATCCCTGTTATCTGGCTGCTGCAATGTGCCGGCTTCCTGGTATTAATGCACATGGTGAATTGTTCCCCATGATGGATTTTAGCCACTAGACATCCCGCATGTTTGTATCCCAGCTGCAATAAAGATGTCGGCGGCTCATCAGCATCAGTTCACCTCCGGAGACTGGATGTAGAGCGAGGAGTTACTGTTTGCAAAAAATAAAAGATTTCTCTCTTCAATATCACAAAGGCACCATGGTAAGTGCTAGGCCTATAGCTGTATTTTAGAAGAAAAAAAAAACTTTTTTCATATTTACCTATATAAAGAATTTTATATTTTTGTATTTTCAGTAATTAATATTTAGAAAAACAATGTAATGTATACATAAATAGTGAAAGCATACTGTATACATAAATAGTGAAAGCATACAAAAAAATTAATATCTCCTATTGGACAAATGTCAACATTTTACTTAAAAGAATCAGTATGACAACTAAAGTAGTTGTTTTTTGTTGTTTATGATCATATTTGACAATATACTGTAATAAACAACATGCAGCAGAACAGTCCTTGTGTCCCATGGAGTTGGTAATTCAGGTCCAGAAAGTAAAAGTCCAGACCAGGATTTTGTTTCAACCAACCAGTTGAGCATAAAGAGTCACAGAATACTGAACGGGTTTTTTCAAACAAAATCCCGTTCTGGACTTTTACTCTCTGGACCTGAATTACCCAACTCTGGGTATCACCTATGGTGCCCACATAATCCATGTCAGAGAGGACACTTTGAGCTACTTCAGGTTTTACAAGCTGCTTTAAAACCAAAAGGCTCCGGTCCTTGGCTAAATACTTCAGCTTTTCTCGTACTTTGCTTTGTTTCCTTGATTTAAAGACTCATCCAGCTGTTTCACGTTATCGTTAGTGACATATGCATGATTAAAGGAGCCTGACCAATCAGCACACAGCAAGAACTCAGTGCCTAATTGAAATGGTAGTTTTGAAATCCTGTCCTAGCTCAAAGTGTCCTCCCTGACATATATTATCTGCTCACTCTAATATCACCATCCTACACATTAAAGCTGAAATTTTGCAGAACCACAGATCTGAGTTCTCCATTCGTTTAGTTTAGCAGCCACCCTTAAGAACATTGTATACAGCTGTCGGTCTCAGATGGTCAGGCAGGGCCATGGTCTGCTATGAGGGTCCTGAGGCGGACAGTGTGACACCAAGCAAACACTCCTGATGCCTTAGGAAGCAGCTGGAGCCTGGCGTTCTCACCGATTTATATACTGCCATGCCACTTCAGATGACTGACCCAAATTTCCAGCCCAGCCACCAAATTGTGCCATTACCGCCATTGTTGACGGTGGATGTCACGGCTTCCCCCCTCCACACCCCACCGTTCTTAGGTCACTTCAGATGGTTCATTTTGCATCCCAGGGGATGATGTGGTGAAGTAAGCAACCCCCCCCCCCTCCCCCTGACAGCAAACATGTACATGTGTAAAATGCAAATGGCCCTATTGTGCCCGTGGGCTCTTGCCGATAAAGCTTTTCCAGAAGAGTGCGTCTCCGAGTGCCAGTGCCAGCATGCTTGAGGTAGGGCACCTGGCGGTAGGAGCGAAGGTAGAGGGGGGGGGGGGCTTAAAACATACCAGGCAGCAGCTAAGAGAGACGTCTGATTATGGCAGGATTCCTGCAGATCAGGAGCTGGTGAGGTAGGGAGGGGTGCATGGTGTGCTATTTCCGCAGCTCCCAGCCCCCAACCTCTATGTCCAGGAGCAGCAGCTAGCGGCAAGACACTGGACGCCCCATGCATGTCCCGCCCTCTTTCTCACAGCCAGGCTAACCCCACACTGGCAGATATGTGCCATACGCTAACGCCAGGCCCGTTGTCATGCATGATGCTAGGTTTAACACCTAGATGCCTCAGCTTTCTGGGTATTTGTATAAATATAATATATACATGACATGGCTAATCGTCGTCATGCTAGGATTGCTGGGAGGGCCTGGCTGTGTCCCAGCCTTATCCACTTTTAATCAGAGGATGAATGAGTCTCTCTCCTGTCGTCCACCGGGGAATCCTGACACACAAGCCTCTGTGCAATCTCATCATTCAAAACATCCCACTGCAGGCGAGTCGCCGTCTCCCCCTCTTAAGAAAGCTACTTTCTAATAGCCTTGAGTCAGTCATTTAAAAGGCAACTGTAATTAACTCCCATACACGTGCTTTCTTTTTTCTCCCCTAAATTCCCAGTTATGCATTATTGGAGAAGTAATCCAGGCTTAAATGAGTAGGGTAGAGAGAGAGAGATAGATAGATAGATATATATATATATATATATATATATATAATTTTTTTTTCCCCAAGATGGAGGGGGGGAACGATTCATATTCTGCTGCGGACCTTGTGGGTCCCACTTGGATTCTGTGAGAAGTTAGGTTGCCTCTGGTTGCATCAGTCTTGCATGCTGACGACTTGAACGCTTCTCTGTGCAACAGTGAATCTCACCTTTTTGTTAGTAAACACGGCATCATCCTGTGCTATTTGTGAATCTATTATGTGTCATCAAAATTTATGCCGCAATTAATATCAGAGCGAAATGCTATTTTGATAGCAATTGTTTTTTTTTCTCTGTAAAACCCAAATATTTGAAGCTTTTATTGAAATATTGTTGGATGGGGGAATATTAATTATTATAACCTGAGGACCTGACTGAAGAGGTGATATCAGTTTAGAAATGTGTATGTTAATGTAACAAGGACAGATTTCTCTGTGTCTGTGCTGTAATTGGCAATACAAATCTTCTAGTCTGAGTACAGTAAGTGTTTTTTCCTCCAAACTTAAAGATCAAAAGGTACCCTTTTTGTTATAGTAGTTACTTATTCTACATTTTCCTGTTTCTTTACTTCCCAATCAAACATCTAAAGTTGTCAAAAAAAACAGCTGGCACCTTTTTTTTGTTCTTTGAACTTTTCTTGGGAGTATTGTGTAAGTGTTTAGTCATTGTTTTAGAACAGTGTGCAAAAATGAAAAAAGAGCTTTAATGAATGACTGATGTTCTGATTAAGAGTAATGAATAAAACAATTGAATTATTTTAACTACTGAAATAGACTGTGACTCAAGGATGTGTTACAATACATTTAATCCCACACACACAATGCCTACTATGAATAAAATTAAAATTCACATTGCTCATATAAAACTTTTTTCCAACCTGTTGTGTCCAAATGACATTTGCAAATGAGCTGCCACTTTCACTCAACAGAGTGGCAATTTTCATAAATTAGCAACAAGGACTTGAGCTGGGAGTGGCTGTATGACGACTTAATTACGAAGGAAAGAAATTAACCTGAAAGTTGCTATCGTTTCATGCATTTACAATATTCCTTATTCAGGGAGAAAAAAAAAAGTTCATTATTTTGGTTCAGTCCCACTGAATTTTTTTAATTGCTGCCTGGGCTAACTCACATAATAATAAAGTGTCTAATATAGTTTGTAGATGTGCATTTGCATGCAGCAGTCTCTGGGCTCCCTGTCATTACCTTCTAATTACTATATATCACAATCTGACAAGTATGCGCTACGTTTATGACATAAAAATGAAAGCCCCCGCTCTAATGAAATAATGAAAATCTGAAAGCGCTGTTTATTTCACCTGAATGGTTTTTCCCTTCATCTGATCCGTTTGCACACTCAACACTTAGTCAATAAATCCTGAAAGACAGCAGGTGACCCTGTAAAGGTCTATCAAAGATCAGCTGCTGCTGTATTCATTTTGAGGGAATGAGACGGAGGGTAATTATTCATGAGGAACACAGGGGCATGGAGCACTTTAAAAAAATGCCATGATTTCCCATCAAATGTTCAGTTTGAGCCATTAGACTTCTGTAGAGCTGTTTGATGGTAGAGTTTTTGATTGATAGGATACAAAACAGTTTGTCTTACTGGACACACCTGTCGAATGGGGTTATTCTTTAGAAGAAGTGAGTCCAATCGCTTGCAGTTAAAGTGGCGGATTTTAAATGGTCATTTATGTGTCCATTGACAAGTGAATTCAAACCTTTCTTATTACATATTCTTTCTTTAAGAGTTGTGAATATTTTGGCTTGTTTACTGTCCATCCATTTTCTGTACTTGCTTGTCCACTTCAGGGTTATGGGGGGGATCCAGAACCACAAGGCAGGAATCAACAAACCAGTATGGGGGCGCTAACCCACTGCAGAACACACTCACGCCTATGGGCGGTTTAGTAACTACTTTTCACCTTAGCATGTTTTTGGACTAGAGGCAGGGGAACCAGAACCTTCATGAGGAGAACAGGTAAACTGCACACAAATGCAATCAAGGCAGCGACTCAAATCCTGGCCCCAGAGGTGTGAGGCAACAGCGCTGAACACTGCACCACCGCGCTGAACACTGCACCACCGCGCTGAACACTGCACCACCGCGCTTAACACTGCACCACCGCGCTTAACACTGCACCACCGTGCCCCGTCGTCTTTGCTAATGAAAACAGAAGTAAAACTGAGAGTAAGTGAGAGCAAAACTGTTGCTTATGCTTAATATGTTAACCTGCCAAAAGGTACCATCATAATATAGTAATTAAAAGACATTGCAAAATTATTTTTGCTGAAGTCCACATCCAGGTATGATCTTGAACCCAAACAGCCTTGTACCCAAACAGCTGGTCTTGGCAGGCAGATTTATCTGCCCTGGCCTGCTTGATTAGTACATTTTGTTTCAGATCATTTGTGGAAAATGGCCAATAGCTTAGTTTTGCCATGTTTCAAAAACTTGGGCATAATTTTATTGCAGCATAGGGAATAAAGCTGATTGGACAAAGTGCATGGACAAGGCAGACTAATAGGTTGGGTTTGTAATTACCTCAGTTGTCTTAAAGGATGTGTTTTGAATGGGGCAATATGACATATTAAATACAAGTTTAAGTTTAAAAATGTACTTTCAAACAGAATTTTTCTATATAGGAAGTATAGGGATTTAACAGGGCAAGTTATGAAAGAAAAAAAAAAATCACAAAATAGGTGAATTCAGTTCATTATGCAATGTATTAATATGTATATATAAGCAGGAAAAAAAATCTGTTCAGTTATTTTGAGTACAGCATCACCTGCAGTCTCCTTTTTGACAAAGCTGCTGGAAAATGGACAAATTAAGTATTCGATGTCAATGTATGTCAATGAAATCCCATCAGTCCCTGCGAATCACACTGGTTGGCCTTCAAGTAATGGCTGTATAAGCAGGATGATGAATAGCAGCAAAAGCAGAAGGATGGCAGTCTGTCACGCAGCCCGATGTAACATGAACACGGCTGTACATGAGCGTCACACCAAATCAGTTTGTCATGTTGGGATCACGGCGTGCGATGACGCAAAACGTCGGGATATCCCCCAAGGACAACCTGGAGACGGAGGGATCACAGGGACAAAATTCCTAATCATTGCTATGCTGTGAATTCTGCTCTCCTTTAAATACTAGACAGAAATAGATAATCATCCAATTAACAAAGCTGCATTGTAGCCACCAGAAATGGAAAACTCATGTCTAGGAAGTTCAAATCCAAACCAAAGCTTTGTTTCGACCAGACAGTTGAGTACTCTGACTCTTTATGCTCAACTGGTTGGTTGAAACAAAACATGCACTTTCTGGAGCTAAACTTTCCACCTCTGGTAGCCACTTACAATAGCGGGCAAAACTGTGGAAACACCAAGTATTTTTGGCATTACGCTTTAAAAATGAGTACAGGAATATTGCCGGTCATGTTTATAAACAAAGAATGTTACAAATATCATACATTGTACGATTAAATAAGTAACTGGAGTAACTGGAATAAAGTTCTGCAGTCTCTAAAAATTGGAAGTGTTTCCACAGTTTTAGCCGCTAGTGTAAACAAAAGCTTAGAAAGGAAAAGCTGTCTTTGTCCAGGATATCACAGCCACAGAGTGACTTAGTTGTGTCCAGCATCCTACCGTGGAACTTGATCTAATTCCTTCTCCTTTGGTCTCCCCCCCTCCCATTTTGAGATGAGCTCCTTTCATGACTTCAAGGGAAGAGACTGTTCTGGTCAGTCCTTCTTTTTACTTTTAGTCAGCATAACAAGAAACGGATTTATTTATTTATTTATCTGTCTGTCTGTCTGTCTTTCCTGCTAGTTTTTGGTTTCTTCGTGAGTTTTTGAGAGCACGTATAAAGTCCGACATACATTAAGCAAATGCTGGGGAGATTGCACGAAGTCGCCATGGACTGCTTCTCGGATTGGCGTGGCGCCAATCTAATTAATTTACTATGCGGCCGGCACACTGCCCAGAACACAAAACCAGAACTGCGGCCTTTGTGCCGTCCACAGTGAAGGCTATCACTACAAATGATAGATATAATTGTTACACTTATAAGAATATTTATCATCTGTACACGCCATTGTACCTCGGTAATGAAAAAAAACCATGCCACTGAAGAGAATAATCATAAAAATTGAAATAGTTGGGGTTTATCGGTCCGTACATCTTTGGCGCTATAATAAGGATCCTCGTTTATTATGCATGCGCTGAATTAGCTGGTCAATACTGGCTTCGCTCACAATAAGGCTCACATCCGCGGACACACGTAGGCACTCGTTCAAGCCTGTTGGTCTCTTTCTGCTTTTTAAAACGTGTTAGTTTCAAGTAGTAATAATGAAGTAGCTACACACATACTTACGCAAATTAAATTTCTTTTCGCTATGGCTTGGTTAAAGCTGAAGGTTAATAAGCTGAGCCGATTTTGTAGCTTCCCGTCCGGCGCCGATTCATGCCGAGGCTGGCCCCATCTGGGCGCTTTAAAGCGCGCTCCCTGCTAGTGTAGTGACTGCTCCTCGCTTTGCATTCTGGGGCCCGGCTTGGCGATAAGGTCAGAGCAGCTTTTCATCTCAGGGAAGGAAGCGTGGCGGCGGCTCTTCGCGGGCGCGGGAGCGAGACGGGCGCGTGCGCTCCGCCGTTAGGCGCGACAGTGGGGGGAAAAGGCGCTGCGAGGAGGTGCCTGTTACATAAACTGTGGCAAAACAATGGAGTCATTTTCCGTTAAGGGATGGAAATCCTGTCGCTCTCAGCATACTAAAAACAGTACTGTCATTGCCTCCTCTTCTGTCGCCGCACACCAGTAGACCTCCTTTTCCGGCTGTTTCCCACAGCCCTCCAGTACTAGGCTGACTGACTTATCTAAGACCCAGCCTGACTTGTTGCCTTGGTTATCAGCCAAGCGTGTTTTATCCACATGGTTCATCCTGCTGTTCGTGCTATATGATCCGGTAGCAGCTAATATAGCTGAAACACGTCATTATCCAGTAATATAATCCCCCGATTGGGTACGTACTAACATGCTCTTTAATTATATATTTTTCCCCCTCTGAAATGCAATAAATTAAATTGTTCTGAGCACATAGCAATAGGCTAATGTAATAAATATAAACAGATTTTCTCCATTATCTCTAAATAGCATTTCAGTAATTTCCGAAAATTATGTATAATGAGAAGAAATGCAAGTCGTGTTTTACAATTACAGTATAGCGGCTGCACATTAACCCACAATAATGCTTTTTTTCCACAACCCCATGTATGGAGTCCTGTAATAAGCAGTTATACTTTGCAAAGAGCAGTTTTATTACTTGTGCTCAGATATTGGGTTTTTTTTTGCAGTGCCTTCGGGCCAGAAGGGGGCATAGGAGCCAGCAGGAGTGTGCCAGTACTCACTGAATATTTATTTTCATAAACGCAAACATTGGTCAACCAGATCTGTGGCAGTCGTCATTTAAAAATAAATTGTTTCATGAAAAGCCAAGATGCGGCAGCAGTATTTTGACTAGACGTGCTGTGCGCGCAGCGTTTTTGTACAGATGGAGGCATGCCTCTAGAGGAAGTGCAACTAAGCCAAACCCAGAAGCTGGCCAAGACCGTGAGAGGTATTTGTGGCCTTTCCAGACATATATTCTTACTAGCTGAGGTTAAAAGTAATAATTAATCCAGGAAGGTCAGCGGCACTGACACGTTTCATCATCCATGAGTGCACTGAAGTCGATCAGAGGATGGGGGAGATTGTTGACCTTGAGATGTACAGCATAATCTTTTAGAAGGCCAGGAGCCATACCCAGACATGCAGCACCACGATACCGTCCAGCAGCAAGTGTGTTTGTTTCCCATTGCAGAACTGAGATGCTACTTCAACTGGTAGCCTAGGTGACCATAAATGCCATTTCTTTTCTTGTTTTCCTGTTTTCCTTTGAGGCCGAGTCAGCCCTTTGAAAGTAGGTCTGCCCTGGGGGGGCAGGTTTGGCTTGGATGCAGGCAGCTGAGGAGCCTTGCAGTAGATAAGCGCTCCTGGATGTCTGGACGGCCATGACGAAGCAGAGGGTTACTGGAGGACCTCTCTGCACAGTCTGTCTGGGCTTCCAGCCGGGGTTTTCTTGGAGGACAACTCTAGGTCTGGGGTTTGTCCGATATGGCATGTTGGGTCTTGGACTGGTTGTTTGTACACGTTTCTTAAGTCAAATATGCCTTTGCAGAAAAATGACCGGGTTGCTAAGATCCTTCTGACTCCAGTATTAAAAGAGGAGTTTCTCAAAAGGTTGATTTAATTATTTCTTGGTACCCAGAGGAAAAAAAAGTTTGAATTTCAATTCCACTTATTTTGAAAGGCCGGCCATATAAATTTAAATAAGATTTATCTTAATTGGATAGTTCAGTGTTAGAGAATGCTTCATTTACAATAATAATTATTTCTAATATGGTCTTTTCTATTTATGATGTAAATACCAGACTACCTTTAGCGGCATGGCTGGTACTTCCTGTGTAGAAAAAATTGTGATTCTCACTAATTTTAATAGCCAGATGTTTAGTGGCGCGATCCATGTTCAATGCCCTTCTCCTGGGTGCTGCAACAGGGCCTCTCTTAGGACCCAAAGCAGCAATCTTCAGGCTGGGAGACTGGGACCTAGAGCAGACTGCGACACAGAGTCAAACAAAAATGGTGAGGAGGAACAGAAAAGGGGGACAGCTGTTTCAGCATCAGCACCAGGGAAAACGCAACAAAAAGAAACAGATGTCAGGTCTTGGAAGGGGCTACACTGGGATGCAGGATCTGGGCACATTTTCTATGGCTGACAGAAAAAAAAACAGCTCATTCTTAGTGTTGCTGATAAGCCGCGGTGGCAGTGAATGGATGTGCCCGGTGCCCGACTTTGCCCCAGCCTAAGGCATCCGGTGCCCATCTCACAGAGCCCACACCTACTATTCCACCTGCTTGCAGATTGTCAAGGGCTAACAGTTCAGAGTCTGAGATGCTTCATTTAATCCGGGCATTGAAAACATCATCTCTGTTTGGCGTAGGGTAATACGGAATATTACGCAATAGGATCTATTCTAAAATTCATATTTACATTTTCAGATAGAATGAATATTTATGATCTTATATGTATTTCTGTTTCTGATTAATTTGTGTTATCTTTGACATCTTTAACATATGTAATGTGTTTTTTTTTACTAAATCCAGTAAAAGAGCATGAGCTTTAGTCCCTTATTGTGCTTCAGATAAAGATAAGGGCTGTACTGTCAAGCGATATGTGACCTGAATCAGACGGAACTACAGAGTGAACGCAGAAAGGGGGCTGGAGTTTCTGGAAGGTTCCTTCCCTGGAGAGGGGTCTTCACAGCTGCGTGCTTGGAAGAGGCGCGGAGACAGACTCGGAGGCAAAGGCGCCTTTGCATATGAAATGCCCACCGAACCAGACTCTCCACTCTTTCCCCTGCCAGTAAATGTTATTTTCAATGTCTGAAAATAAAAATAGTTCCTCCAAGCACATGTCCGGATTTGCCAGCTTGTTGGTGTAAACATATCAAGAAGGTGTACAGGCAAGTAAAGGCGAGTACTGACCAGCGGTGGCTTTGAAGGGGCCATTGCTGGGTCTAATTAGTCATTTTTAAGTGCTTCTGAGAGAGGTGGAAGAGCTTTGTACAGCTCCGAGGAGGCACTGAGGTAGCAGTGAGCTCCCTCATTAGTCAGGGATGATACGTGCATGCTTAGAGCTTGCATATACGCAGAATTTGCTGGGTGACGCCAGTATCGTAGTGAGCTGTGCGGAACCCGCGTCCTGACTGTCATTTTCTGGGAACGGCAGGCTGCCTTAATGCCCTCCGCCTGCCATTCGCGAGTCAGAGCGTTCCAACTGTCTGCGCCTCTAAGCTTTTTCATTCGAAACTCCTCTGGACGCCATTCCCGACCAAATGTTTTATTATTTTCTCTTTTATTTTGAGCCTTTATCTGCTCTGACAATGCAGTCGGTTTGCTCTGCATTGCTATAAGAAAATGTCTGCAAAGACCCTTTGGGGAAACAGAGTTAAATTCTGGTCTGTATTGGCTAGAGAAGTAAGTGTTTTCCATTGTTTTGCTTTTGTTTCTTAACAAATGCCTCCCACAACAAAACGTTTCGCAACATGAATTTCTGAAGTTGCTGTATGCTTAGTCTACTTAGATTATTATTTACAGAGAAGAAAACACTTTGTGTGCAGATATAATACATGTAAATATTATGTATATTATGATGTAAATGGCATTTTTATATTCATGTTTTATTTCAATAAAATGTGGATCTGCATCAAAAAAGGATTGCATTAAAAAATGGTACAAACAAAGTCATGATTAAAATAAGTTAAGACTTGATAAAGCCTGTACTTGGGATGTAGCCCAGTCTAATGGCTCACACTTCACACGGTGGGCCTGATTGGTCAATCATGATTTAAGTAATGGGCACAGAGAGCTGCATGTAATTTATTCTGTTTTATATCTTTATTTTGTCGTAAACATGCTTGGTGTAATATAATGAGTTGAAATATAACCCTGTGCAATATAATCAGGTGTGCAATTTTCGGTCCCTTTTAAACAGCACTTCATTCTATATAACAAATGTTCATTGCCCCCACTCCCCCCCCACTGCCTCCTTAAGCCTTGTTGACTTTTTTAATTCCTTCATAACCCATTGGCTGCGTTTGAGTTCTGCGGCTTGTTCTTATGATTTCTGCAGCAGTTGTCTAAACAGGGTCGTGCTGGGAAGGAGAGGTTATTCTTCAATATCTAATAAACAAATGCGCTAAAAGATCGATAGAAAAGGGAAAATTAGCCTGTAATATACAGCTCTTACCACAAGGCTAATCTGGATGTATTCTTGGTAGGTATTGGTGCAGCAGTATTTATAAGGGGATAATTAAAGGCGTTGTACTATTTAAAGGATACCGACATAGGTGGCTGGCTATTGCAGATGAGGTGAGTTTCAGAGCATGAAGGCTGCTGCGTACAGATGACTCTGATGAGACATTATCTTATACTGAACTTCTTTCATGCAGAACTGTGCAGTAATATAAATATATATATATATATATTTAAATGGCAGACAGGTTAGCTGATTTTTTTCCTGTTAGGAATTTGTGTGTGTGTGTGGGGGTAATTTTATATATATAAATAAAAGTACTCAGTGCTGACACCACTTTGTGGATTGCGGGATCTGAACCGACAACCTTCCGATCACAAGCACAGAGCCATAACCTGCTGAGCCACACGACGCCCCCAGCACTTTTTTAAAAATGTCTTTGTGAGCTGTGTTACTCAGAGCACTTATCTTTTGTTGAGCCATACATGACTATGAATAGGCAGCATCCGCATTCTGCGTGGGCCGTGCGATCGCGATGTAATTTCAAATGAGCATGAAGAAAAACTAGCACTTCAGCTATGGGTTGGTTGAAAAAGATCATAGCATCTCCCAGGTTGGTTTTTCAGAGTCATGGAATCAAAACAGGATACAATCCAAAGAAACCAAATCACACGTTAAGGACTGATGGTTCCTTTTTCAGTAAAACTAATGTGTAGTTCATGTGTTTTATATAAAATATATAATTTAATATTGGTGTATATGGTACCCAGGGTTCAAGTCTCTGCCATGGTTTTGTATGAGTTTGCATGTTCTCCTTGTGTCATCATGGGGTTCCCCCCATCATGCATTAACAAATTAAGGTTAATCTGAGTTGCCGACCTGTCTGCAGGTGTGAATACTTGTGAATGACGCGCAATGGGTGGGCCCCCTATTCTGGATTATTCCCTGCTTTGTGCCCCTAGGTTATGGAATAAGCTCCAGATTCCCGCAACCTTGCATAGGATAATGAAAATTAAATGAAATGAAAAATGGATGGATGTGTGTGGTACAGAAATAAGTACGTTGCTTTAAGTACACTGAGGAATGATAATATTTTAGATCTAAAGTAATTCCTTGGCAGAGAGTCACATACAGACAAATTCATATATTGGTTTCATAATGCAAGGTATTTATTGCCTAAGGATTCTGCTTTATTTCCACCTGACTGATCTATTGTACTATTTCAGGTAATCAAATGTCAATATTCACTTAATGTAACCTGAATGTTACATTGCACTGTAGCTCCCCACATTAAAATGAGCAAGTCTATACAGATCACTCTCTCCCTAAGAGGTGTTTAATATTTTTTCATTGTCAAATATAACAATATTTTCACTCAGATATTATTCCGTTCTTATTTTGTTCGTAGAATCTGGGCGTATAAAGAATGTTAGTAATATTTTCAGTCATCTCAACGGAATCATATAACTTAAGTTTTTATGATCGTGGCCATGCATCCCACATTCCCCTTCACCCTGTGCGGGAATGTTCACTCTAATTTACCTACCGCACATTGGGTGCTGCTAGAGACTTTGGGCCCCATGACAGCACATCGTAATGGACCACCAATCCTGAATTAAGTTTCCGATTTTTTAGTATCATCCTAACTTTCCTGCCCTTTACAGCGTCCCTGATTGTGAAACAGAATTTTTAGAATTGTACAGCTACTCAGGGATTTCCTTAATAGAATTACGCTTTGTTTTTAATGAGCACTCATTTATTCATTCCGCGCTGGATTCCTTTTGAACAAAAACGGTATCATTGTGATGAAGAAATGAAGCCATTGTAGGTTTTCCAGGCAAACCCCTGGGCTATGATCCTGAGCACCCAGAAAGCCCAGTGGAGGGCGCTCGCTGTCTGATCACGCAGCCCCACCGGGGGACTGTGACCCGACTGTGTCCCCCGGCAACGTCGTGCTGCGCCTGGGAGGAGAGCGGAGTGACATCGCTGGGTTACCGTTATATTCACTTAGCAGAACGTGGCAATAATCGTGCGTGTGAGTCACGCCACCTGCTGTGTGGCGTCCTGCACCGTGCAATGAGTCTCCCAAAAGAAGATTTCATGCCGACGTCTTTATATAAACAGGCACTTACGTAAAGGTTATTCGACGCTCCCCCCTGATGTTGCCCCTCTTTTTAAAAAAAAATAATAATAATAATACAATACGCCTGTTGAAATGCCAGTGGGGCTGAGGGGCTTTTCTTTTAAATACAATGGGAAAGAGTTTGTAAAGCTCAGTACAATAAAAGTGGCGAGACAGAAAATTAACCAGTTCAATAGCCTAAGTGTTCAGGAGGTTCAGTTACAGTTTATTTAAAGATTTAAATTAGCAAAATGTTATTCAGTACTAAAGCGAAATCCTCTGGAGAACCTGGGTGTTTCTCAATATGCATACTTGATTGTACTTGTGTTCTCGCTTACCCGTTTTACGTCATCTTCCATTGCCGAGGAAGAGTCCAATACTAGGAACAGAAGTACAGAGGACTGTAAAAATCCCCAGATGTCGTTCCTGCCCGTCCCAAATATCAAGGACACATCAGTTGCATCCTCGCTAAACGAGACCAATCCCATGATTCATCACGCCCCAAGTTCGTTCTTGGGAGGCAAGTTAAGAAGAACGCTCTTGCCAAGACCACAAGAAGGATCTTTGCATCCTTGGTATTGAGAAACAGCCCAGGAGTTGCTACCTCAATCCTGTAAAATCCTGGACACCCAGTTATCGACCAGAAATACTGTAGATAGTGACACCTTTCCAAACCTTGGCTTAGGTCGGTTTCATAGAAAAATTGATACGGATACTCTGTGTTCCGGAATGAACTTTTTCCAAGACCGACACCCAAATCCGGGGTGGTCCTGTAAAATCCTGGACAGGTGGCACATCTGTCACAGTCAGCAAGAGCTCAGGGCGGCAGTCCGACGTGGATGGCCGTCCATCACATAACACATACACAGTCTAAAGACACCAATCAGACTAACTGCATGTCTTTGGACTGCGAGAAGAAACCAGAGCAGCTGTGTAAATCCCTGCAACGTGGGGAGAACACATTTGACACACACCGCTGGGCCACGTTTCCAACCACAAACCGCGGAGGCGGGGGGCAGCAGAGTCACCCACTGAGCCACTGGGCTTCTAACGGGAACCTCCTAAAATATCAGAAATTAAATTTTCTTT